TCCTAGAACAACAGGTCATGGTGGAGTAGCAGCTGTAGTTTATAAGTCATAACTATTAATTAATGCTAAAACAAATATTAGTTATAATTTGTTTGAGTCTTGTCCCTCAGTCTTTCTCATCCAAAACAGAAATCAGAAAAACCTCTGTTACTTATTTATCGTCCTCCAGGCCCTTATTCTCAGTTTTTGTTTGAATTCTCATATTTTCTGACTGATTTATTATTAAATACTGATAAGATTATAATAATAATTGGAGATTTTAACATTCATGTTGATAGTGAAACTGATGGCTTAAATATAGCTTTTAGTAATGTACAAAGTAATCCCTTTCTTAAAACATGAGTGGTCGACGTATGGCCTTTTCAAAATCAAACCTAAAGATCATATTCATTTTTTTTACTCTGTTCAGGATTTACTCACAGATTGACTATTTGTTCCATGTATGTTGGTAGGAAGGACCTTTTTTGTTTATGTAAAAAGTTGACAAAGTTCAATGCTCATTAAGCTGAGCAGGATATTAGGTCTAATATTTAGCTACAGATGCATCAGTTTGTTGTCAGCAACACAAATGTGCTGACTTGAAAAACAAGTCATCAAACAACTGTGTACGTTTTYTGACCTGTTCATCTGACAACAGCTAACAAACTAAATATTAGAACACATTGAACACAAACAACACATTGTTGCATTAGAACACATTAGTGATCATGTTGGTATGTCTCCTTACCTCTAAGGTGGGGTGTGTGTTGTGTTTGTAAGCTGTATAGAGGGGGAACTGTATTTGAAAAATCTTAGCAGTACACAGCAGCAGTTTTTCTCTCTCCTCTGTGGTCCAACAGATGAAGGGATCCTGGCTGTCACTGATGTCACTGCCAGTTGCAACACCATCCTCATCCTCCCTGGACTCACGACTGTCACACACAGGTCTCAGTGCTTCCACCTGAGCCTCCTCTGTGTGGTTGGACCCCTGATTCTGGCTTTGAGTCTTGTTTTGGTTTCCTTCAGGTGTGTCTGCATCCTCTTCAGCAGAGTCTCTCTCTACGTTTAAAGGTTCGTTCTCCCCTGGTGAGGGCGGCTGGGGTAACAAGTCAGGTGCTAACTCGTCTGCCCTCCATTCAGACCCGGTCCCTTTATGTGTGCGGTTTTGGGCACTGAAGAGTCTGTTCCTCAAGCTACTGATCTGAGCAATGACGAGGTTGATGAGAGCGTAGATCAGCTGATTAAAAACCTCTAAATGTTTATACTCTTTGAAGCAGCACAAACATTGTCTGCAAAAACAGCACAGAGAAGAAAGGATGTATTAAAAATGCAACAAGAACTGCTTTATCAAACAAGATGAACCAAAATCCCACAAAACACTTTAGGGAATAAAAAATAAATACTATTATAAAAGAACAAAGTGTATTGTTACAAAACATAAGTAAAAAAATTATATACAGTCATATGAAAAAGTTGGGGCAGACTTGCTAATTTTCATGATTTTCCTTTATAAATCATTGATTGTTTGGATTTAAAAAAATCAGTTAAATACACCATATAGAGGACAAACACAGTGATATTTGAGAAGTGAAATGAAGTTTATATGATTTACAGAAAGTGTGCAATAATTGGTTAATCAAAATTAGGCAGGTGCATAAATTTGGGCACTGTTTTCAG